AGTTATTGATGAATATTTCACCATTTTATTAAATATTGTTTAGTGGTTTCATAAAAAACTCTCTCTCAATTTAGTTGCATTGGGTCATGGAGTCACCTTTGAAGAATGCCCTATCACAACAAGATTAAAATTAAAATTCATTCATGGATTTGAATCAACATAACATCAAAAATCAACTTTTGTCAGTCAAGACTTAGCTAATCGACCAATAATCATGGTTTTAATTTGATTATGTCGAGAAGTAAACATGAGTCGGCTTGGATGTTAGGTGGACATTTCATATGTGAAACCCCTTAAATTAAAAAAAGAAGAAGCTAAACTCTTAAACATCGAGATACATTTTGATGTAATGATTGGAATTTTATTAAGAAACTTCAAAGTTAAACGTGCTCGTGTGGGAGCAATCCTGGGATGGGTGACCTCCTAGAAAGTTATACCGATGGGATAAAACTGCGAGACCATTAGACCAAAGCAAACAATATCTCGATAGTTAAGAGCTTAGACTGTTACAAAATGGTTCAGAGCAATACACCACACCGGTTAAAATATGTGAATTAAGTGTTATATTGAACAAAGTGTTGCGCCATAGGGGCCTCTTGAACCCTATATGGGACAAAATATTTCATGGCGGGAGCTACTACTTGAACTTGTATGGGTCATCTCTAGAATTATATTTGCTTAGTGGATGATTCTAAAATAAGAATATTGACAAGGATGTCAATTACTTAAGTGAGTGAGATTATAAAACCTCTTAAGTAAAAGAAAACTAAATTTCTGATCATTGAGATGTGTTTTGATGTAATTATTGGAATTTCACTAAGAAACTTCAAAGTTAAACGTGCTTGTGTTGGGGCAATCTTAGGATGAATGACCTTTTGAGAAGTTACACTAACGGGATGAAACTATGAGGCCATTAGACTAAAGCGGACAATACGTTGATATTCAAGAATGGGTTGTTACATCACATCACACCTTAACCCAATTGTGATGAAAAATTTGCAAGTTGTTTAATTCTAAATCAAGTTTAGATTAACTACATTAAATATGGATGCTTTAAATAAAAGACGGCAAATTTAGCGGGCACAATGATTAAAAGACAATATTTGCAAGAAATTAAATGAGGAGGAGAAAATTACAACCTTCTTTTATGCTTATTTTTGTTTGCAAGGTTAATAATGCCAATTTTGTGCTGCATAAAGAGCTGAAACATAAAATTGCTAATGTTAATAGAGTTATTAATTGGGTAATTGTTGTTAAACGTTCACTGAATTATCATGAGTGCATCTCTAATATGTTTATTGTTTGTGCTCTTTAAATTTGATTAAATTATTATTTGAAAATCAATTTTTGTGAGAGATGGATGAAGTATTATAGTGTATACCTAATGAAGGTAGATTAATCCTTGACAAGTTAAATGGACATTCTGATGGGATGGGCTATCAAATGATTCGTGGTTAGTTTGATAAAGAGATAGAAATATAATGAGAGAAGCTATTCTTATTTTATAATAGCATATGAACTTATAACAGTGGATACATATTTTACCGAATAAGAACATTTGATTTAGAAAATGAAGCACGAAATTACTTAGAGACTTTTTTACTATGAATGAAACAAAAACGTTTTGTAAAGGTTATAATATAATCATCATAGAAATTTAACCACACAACTTGAAGTAGCCACCATGAATGTATATCTATAAAGGAAACAATTAAAATAAAAAATTACATAATAATTTAATAGAAATTGAAACTTCAGAAGTTATTAATCTTCCAAGAGAGATTGCTTAAAGATGCAAGTTAGTATTATATGGTTGAAACAAACTTAGGTGGGATAATATGATTTGTTGTATTAAGAAGGTTGTTACAAAAGTTTAAGGAAGCTCTTCAAGTAAATCGTACACAAGTGAGGAGAGTGGTGGAGTCATGAGCTCAATGTTTGTTATGTGCATGGTCTCTTTTGCTTCAAAACATGAAGTGCAAAATGAAGCATCTCTTTTACTGAGTACAACCCTCATGGCTTGTATATCATATTTGCATACAGTATTCATTTAATTAATCTAATTTTAATGCCATGTAATAATTTTCAGCATATATTCAATAATAGTTTTTTTCAACATTTTGAAAGCTATATATATAAAGAATGAAATAATGAAAGTATACTTAAAATTAAGAATACTCTTAAGATTGAGAGATAGACCAACACAATGTGAGTCGAGAGAGTATGAAGATGAGGCATTAAGAAACATGCATAGGAAACATCGAGAATAATTCTCAAGAACAAATTTGTGGCGAGAAGTTACTAGTGCCAACAGTAAGAACTACCAAAAAGCATATAGGTAAATTAGGGGGCAAGAAAGTGTGAAGATGAGAACCATCAAGAGGCGATTAGAAGTAAATAGAGAACCAACAAGCAACAGCAATACTACTACAAGAACCAATGAGTAATGTTTTCTAGTTAGTGTGAAAGGTATTTAACTGAACCATGAGATTTGGACTAGGATTTCTCTTTGAGCTAATGCCAAGCATGCAACGCTACAAAGCAATGCAACAAAGTGGCATGGCATCAATGTTTTGCTGCAAGCTTACCCTTCATAGTCAAGGAATGCACATGGCTAGTTAATTTCTTCTCTTCACTCCTCAAGTGCGTTTTGAATAACAATGAATGAGTTATAAAAGGTTGCTGAGAAATTTACTTGTAAAGAGTGGCTAATGATAAGTCCTTAAGGTTTATTTTGGTCAAAGAAGCTACGAGTTTTATAAAAAGAATAGCAAGTAAAGTTATATTTTTGATGATTTAAATTTGTCAATGTGCTTAAGAGAAAATAAGATAATATAAAATAGCGAAGTTATATATATATATGAGATCTATAGACTTTGATCAAGTTAGATGTCTAGGATCTTATTTAAAGATAATACATCAAGGAAATAATGAATTACTATTTTAAGAAATTATTAAATAAGAATTTAAGGAATTTTCTTAAAAGCATAATGAATATAATAATATTAATATTGAAAAAGTTAAGTTGAGTGAGCTCAAAAGAATTAATAGTTAATAAAGCTTCAGGTATAGATGAGGTGCTTCTTGAAATTTGAGCAGACATAGGGGTGTAATTATAGTTTGGTTAATAAAATTTTTAATGTAATATTAACGAATATCGGAGTGTCAAATGATTGGAGAACTAACACTTTGGTATCAAAATTCTTGATCAAAGAGATATTTGTAATTGTGGAAATTATCAGATAATCAGATTTATAAGTTATAAAATGAAGTTATTGGGGAGACTAATGAAATATATGATTAGAATATCATTTTGGCATGAGAAAATTGATTTGTTTTGTGTAAAAAAGATCCATCATAAAGGTGGTTTTTGTACCAATGCTTTCATATATTTTTATTGATCTTTGAGAAGGTGTGTTATTATCTTGATAATTGATTTGATGCACATCAAGAAACATTTGTCTGTAAAATGTATATTAAAGTTATTGAAGGTATATATGATGAAGTGAATAACATAAGAATATTTATGGAAAAATCACAAAGTTTCCTTTAGACATTAGGATTACATTAAGGACCATTATTAAGTTTGCATACCTTTGTATTAGTTATAGTAAAATGCAGTACAATGTTGTATGACATTATAAATGGAAAATTTTTAATTGGTGAGATCTTGGTTAATATAAGTGAAAGTAAGAATAACGGAGGAAGAAGATAAGTGACTTCAAATTAGTAGAATAAAGGCTTGGGTATATCATGTACATTTTTACTAGGTGCAAATTGAGACAAGTTGATATTACTTGAAGATTTTAGTGATGTCTAGTTGTAATAAGCTTAAGTGTTTTGCATCTATTATAGAACAGAATGAGGATTTAGATGAGGATATAACTTCTAGAATTACGATTGAGTGGTTAAGATCCTTGAGAGGACTTTGCAATATTGGAATATCATTTGAAAAAGTAAACTTGACAAATTGTGTTAAGACTGGCTTTTTTTAAGAGGGGATTTACATAGCTAACACACAATTATATATTTATTTATCAAATACCTAAACTTTGATATTTTCTCAGCATTTTAGTGTTTCAATTATATCTAAATGTATGCTTTAATTAATGTATTTAATTTTAGAAAAGTTAATGTTAGTGATGTTTTTTATGTGATTTAAATATCTAGGTGTTATATAAGTCAATATCAAAATTTAGGTGTTAGATGTGTAAATACACAAGAAATGTGTGGTATGTATGTAAATCTCCTTTTTTTAATAGATCATGGCATTTGGTGATAAAAATTCATCTATGACCTAGTTGATTGTGGTGGAAATAAGAATGATAAGTTTAGTGTGTTGCAAAATTAGGAAAAATAAATTTAGAAATGATTGTATGATTATTGTAGTAGCACTCATTGAATGTATGATAATGGAAGTTAGGGTGTGGAAATGTACAATGGAAAGTGAAAGATGTACCAATAAAACAAGTGGACAAAATTAACGGGAAGGGAATGGGAAGGAGTTGACAAACTAGAAGTTTTGTAAAAAGACTTGGGTATAATAAGTTTAGCATCTCAAGTAACACTCAATAAAAATAAATGAAGATTAAGTATTTATAAAGCTTATCCCAAATAATTTGGGGTAAGGTTGATCATTATGATAGTTGAAGTAATGTGGGAATTAGTGATGTGGATGCATATGAAAGGTCTACATAAGGTTAGGGATTTTGATGTAAGTTATAAATAATAATAATAATAATTGAATCTATTAAGACTTTCATTTGGAAACCTAAATGAATTTTTTCTTTGGTTAATACCTTTAGCATCTACTTTTATTTGAAGATCATCATAAAAGCTCTTAAACTAGTCAGAATTTATGACTAGTTCTCATATCATAACCTAGATATAACATATGTGGCCTGGTTCATAGTATTTTGAAATATCAAAATGATTATTGATACTGTCATCTATCTCTTTCTTCTTGTGACGCAGTGCTCTTTTTTCCCCTTTTTTTTCAGATGATCATTTGCGGCTGAGTCCTTACTTGTCCTATGTGAGTGGCTCTCTAGCAGGATGTGCTGCAACAGTAGGATCATATCCCTTTGATCTTCTAAGAACAATTTTGGCATCACAGGGTGAGCCAAAGGTGTGTGCTTTTCATTCTTATAATAACTTCATGATTATATCTTATTACTTCAAATTAAATTGGTTTGTTTCTTTTCAATTTTTGTTTTCAAAAAATGATTTTCGGGACTATTTGAAACATTCACCTCATAGGAGTAAAATAAGAGCATGCTTGTGCTAAGGCAACCATGTATATTCATATCTCAGTTTATATGTTTTTTTTTTTGTACATTTCAAATTTTATTACAATCAAACTTGGCATTTTCCATCTTATACCTACAACAATCATATGTGAGATAATCCCTATTATGGTTTTACTGTCTTATTTAAATTCATGCATGTGTAAAGATGATATGCATAGTCTTATTAAATAAGACTGCCAAGAAGTTAAAAAAAAAAAAAACTTTGACATTATCCTTCAATGCAAGAAAAATGAATCTAAGAATTAAGGGTAGTTAGTTTTTTATTTATTATTATAATCTATTAGATAGTTATGAGGCCGTTTGAATTAAGTAGAAGGAAAAAAAAAGGTTCTTTAGCCTTGGATATATCACCTCTATGATATTTTGCCCCATTTTGCTCAAGACAGATCAATTGAAAAGTTTTTTAGAAATTGTCAATGACCTTAACGTTATTTTTAGTTAAAATGCTCTACTGTAATTGTTAGCTGGTATTGTTGGGAATAAAATTGCATTGCCGGCATCTTCAAGTTAATGAAGAAAATTGACTCGATTTTTTTATTGAAATGACATCACTATTGAGGAAGCTTGATCTATTGCAGATATATCCTAATATGAGATCTGCATTTTTACATATCGTGCAAACACGAGGTATTCGAGGATTGTATGCTGGATTATCCCCAACTCTTGTTGAGATCATTCCATATGCTGGCTTACAGTTTGGTACTTATGATACATTTAAACGCTGGATGATGGTAATTGCTCAACTCCCTCATGCCTTTTTTTATTTTATTAAGTATGTTTTATTAATTTTTATATCATCAAGATGTAATAAGCTTCTCTTTTGATTCCATCTAATTTTATGGATGGTCATGCATAGGGCTGCAAGCGAACCAAACGTTCGACGAGCTACTCATTGTTCGGTTCGATTAAAGTTTGTTTGTGATCGTTTAATTAATTAAACAAATAAACTTAAACAATATTTTAAATACTCAATCCTTAAATAAACAAGCTTGAACACTAATTCGTTCAACTCATTTATGTTCATGAACAAAATCATTTAAAGTTCGTGAACAAGCTCTACATTTAACTCGATTTGTGTTCGATTCAGAACTCTTGAATAAACTCGATAAAAACTCAATTAATATTTTATTATAAAATTGATAAATATACATAAAATAAATATTTTATATTTATTATAACATAATGATATAATTATTTTTAAATATTAAAATTTAAAGTAATTAAATATCATAATATATGCTAACTAAAAAAAATCATTAAATATATTCATGAACATGCTCGATGTAATTGTTTGTTTGGAGGCTTGATAAAGCTCATTTGTTAAGTTAATGAACATCTAGAAGTAGAGCTCGTTTATAGCTTGTTAAGGCTTGTTTGCTTAAAGCTCGATAAGCACTAAACGAACTAAACATGAACACTCATTAATTAAAAAATTTAAACAAACAAAACATGAACACAAACAATAAAGCTCGAATCAAACATGAACCAAACTTGAACAAGTTGATAATAAATGAACTCAAACATGAACACTCACATACTCGACTCGACTCGGTTCATTTGCAGCCCTAGTCATGCACATAAAGTTGCTGCATAAATATAAAAATTTCAAGTAAAGGAATCTTCTTAGAAACTTATTTTTGACAAACTATCCTAAAACTAATACGGATTTGTTGCAGACTTGGAACAGGTTCAGGCTTTCCAATGCTAGCTCGGCCAACCAAGGCGACTCTCTCTCAAGTTTTCAACTCTTTCTTTGCGGATTTGCAGCTGGAACAAGCGCAAAAGCTGTTTGTCATCCTCTTGATGTTGTAAAAAAGAGATTTCAGGTAACCGTGCTTCTCCAAAACATTCATACGACTTGGAAAATGATCTATCTACACTAGTAGGATTTACACAGTAGTAAGGGACCATTATTGATGGAGCTCTCTTCGAACGCACTGCAGATTGAGGGATTACAGAGAGATCTTAAGTATGGCGCAAGAGTAGAGAATAGCACATACAGGAACATGAACGATGCTCTTCGGCAAATTTTGCGAACGGAGGGATTTGCTGGACTCTACAAGGGAATCTACCCATCTCTGATAAAATCAGCTCCTGCTGGTGCAGTCACCTTTGTGGCATATGAATACATATCTGATTTTTTAGAATCTTTGATAACATAAAACATTTAGCTATTTCATACTATTAATTTTGGTGAAAATGATCAAAATGATTCTTTAATTCTTTATGAAAGATCAAAATGATCTCTAACTATATAAAATATTATTTTGGTCCTTCAAATCTTTATTTCATGATGGGACTATTTTGCTTCTTCTTGAAGGATCAGAATGATCATTTAATTTAGTTGGGGATCATTTTGATCTTTCATAAAGAGTCCAGGGATTATTTTGATCATTTTCTCATTAATTTTGTTACCAAAACATGATTCTTTTTTCCTACCGATTACTGTAACTTGGCTCCAATCCAGTTGAAGTTGCAACGGATCGGCCAGTGGAGAGCGCACAGATTTCTCTGAAACAAAGCCTTCATCACAGGAAAACCACTTATAGGTATAAACAGCTGCAGTGAAGCAATTTGTATATCTGAAATTTTGGAACTGGAACCAAAATTGTTAAATTTTTTTAGGCTTTTTCATCCTCCAAACAATTTTGCTGATTCTTAACGAAATAAGTTCACATTTGATAATTTTATGATTTTTGTAATTAGCAGAGCGGCTGTGGAAATTGTGGATTTTTTGCTGATGAGTTCAGAACTTCAGCTCTCTTTCACGTTGGAACATTTATTTTAAAGCAGTTTTGGTATTTTTTTCAATTGTTGCGTTATTTTGTCTCAGGTTATTCTTACTCTTTTCTTAAACAATTTTTTTATAAAAATTTCTTAAACTGAAATTTTTTATAGCTTAAAATTGCTTCAGAATGAAATAAATCGTTCTAAATGAAATCTAAGCCTTTATTTATTATGTTTATCTCCTAATTTGCCTTTTTTTTTTTACCAAACGTTTTTTAAGTATAGAGAAGCTCATATTTTACATTTGATCTGAAGTTTTGATGTTCTTTAATATAATATGATTGAAATAAAATTAGAGACTTATATACACATAAAAGGATTTTCATATTTAATATCAATTTTTTTTATATTTGTTTATATAATATCTAAATAAATATAAAAATTTAGGTGTTAAGATATATAGATGTAAATAATTTATAATTTATGTAAATGGCAAAATGTGCAAATTTATCAAATGAGGCCTGTGTTATAACTGACGTATTCGTTAAGGATATTATGTGACAAGCCATGCAAGCCCGTAATCTGTTGCAACTTTTATTACGTCTTACAAACGTAGAGGAACGTCCAATTGGATGCAAAATTCCATCAAAAAACTCGATATTTACATGGTACAACTAGGTATTATTTGATATTAATGAGGAATACCGCTCTTTGAAGACCAATACCGAGTTATACCGAGAAATACCGAGTTGTACCAAGTTTTTCTAGGAAAAACTTGGTACAACTTTTGTATAACTCGATATTTCTGGGTTTAGCTCGGTATAACTCGGTATTGGGTCTTTAAATGATGTTATTCCTCATTATTGTTTGGTATTGCTCGGTATTTGCTCGGTACAACTCATTTTTTGGCGGGATTTGGCCTCCGACTGGACGTTCCTCTGCGTCCGGTCGGAGCACGTAATAATTGTTCAATCTGTTGTGTCATTTTGGGTAAAGCATCATTGTCTGTCATGTTCATTTAGATTTCATTTCGATAATTTTTTATTGCTTTTTAAAATAATTTTTATAAATGTTGTGAAAATTGAACGGGAGAATGAACCGATAGAATGATAGGTTTACGATTGAATCAGTTCGACCAGTAAAATTGGGGTTGAATAGGATAATGTAATAAATAAAATTTAGATGACATAAAAATCATATAATAATCTAAATTTTTTATTAAAAAGTAAATTGAATTCACACATTACTAATATCTTATGTAATTTTAAATTTAAACATATTTAACTTTTAAATTTAATTCAAAGTTAACAAAAATTTAGCTTACATGTCAATACATAAGTTTAATATAAATTATAATTAATTTATGATATATATTTATATATAATTTACACTTATAAATTATATATTAAATTTATATTATTATTTTATATTTATAAATTATTGAGGTTAGATTAGATCATTTATTATAAATAAATTAGTTTTATAGTACATAAATAATAAATTATTATGAAGAATATAATCTATTTAACATTATTAATTAAAAATAAATTATTTACATCATAAAAAACTTATTTAAAAAATCTATTTTAAAATGAGTAGTATATGTTGTAAACTTAAAAGTTAAGAAGAAAGACATAGGAGCTTTATTTTTTTTAGTCTCACAT